GTATGATGCTGAGTATCGGACATTTTGTTTGGCAAGCTTTGCCCTGTTTTACGACCTTTCAGATTGCAAATTGTTAAGGGAATCGCTGCGGTGGTTAAGTTAGCAATGCACCGTTGTTAAGTGAATCTGGCTTCCCCCCGTTGACTTGGCTCGTCAGAAGGTCACAAAAGGGGATCACGGGACACTGCAGCCGTCATAAATACGAGTCGGTGGCCAAGCTCCTGTATTTTGATCACGCGATCATGGGGAAATGTTGCAACGGTCGTTAAAAGTGTGAAAAACGCTCGTAAGTGCCTTGTTTCAGTGCCGTCATAACTTCGAACGGTTGCTAAACGGTTCGTGTTTACGACGGCCGCAATGTGATCCCCTTTTGCGACCGTCGGACAGGCCAAGTCGATGGGGTTTAACAGAGTTGGAAGGGACCTTGTAGGTCATTTAGTCCAACCTCCCCTGCCCAAGCAGACTCACTCAACAACCGTGTAACTAGCTTAACAACTGGCAGTGATTCGCTTAACAACGATGGCAAGAACGGCCGTAAAAACGGGGCAAAACTCACTTAACAGCTGTTTTGCTTAGCAAGGGGAATTTTACGCACCACTGGAGTCGAAGATTCTCCGGAGAACTCCGGCTGTGATTACGATCTGCATGACGAGCAAAAAACAGTTCTTCTGAGAACGCGCAGAGCGATACGTTCACAGAGATATACATACACACACACACACACACACACACACACACACACACACACACACACATATATATGTACACACACACACATATATATATAAGCTGGTCATTCCTTCAGTTTCGTTTGTTTTGGAATGCGATGCAATTTATATTTGATTTATTTTTATTATTATTATTATTTTTTGGCACAAAAACATCGCCTTATTTGTTTTAATTAAAAAAAAAAAAGCGAACTTAAAAGGGCCAAAGTAAATGAGCTGACAAATTTGACAGGGCCTCTTCTCTGCCTTTGCCAGCTCACTTCGGGCTTCTCCCGTCGAAATGAAAAGCGAAACGCGAAATTAATTTTGGGGCGAAGAATGCCGTTGGATTGCGGGAAATGGAGTTTTCATTTCTGGATTGGAAAACCGGCACAGAAACTACGACTTATAAGTACATAATATACTTCTTATAAGAAGAAGACCGTATGGGATCTTATAGGACAGTGATGGCTAACCTTTTGGCCGTCGTGTGCCAAAAGCGGGGGGAGTGCGGGGAAGGGGTCACGTGGGCGTGTGCCCACACCCATAATTCAATGTGCCCCACCCCCTGCAAATGCACACGCAAATGCACTCCGCATTCCCACTTTTGGCATGTGATGGCATGGTGGGTCCGGTAGGCCTGTTTTTTTGCCCTCCCCAGGCTCCAGAGTCTTTCTAGGAGCCTGGGGAGGGTGAAAACAGCCTTCCCCACCCCCCGGACGCCAGAAACAGCCCGTTTCCCGACTTCCGGTGGGCCCGAAAGGCCCGAAAATGCGCTGGAGTTGAGCTAGGGTGGTGATGGTGAACCTATGGCACGCGTGCCACAAGTGGCACGCGGAGCCATATTGGTGGGCACGCGAGCTCAGCTCCAGCTGATTTTCAGGCCTTTTGGGCCCACTGGAAGTCAGCAAACAGGCTGTTTCTGGCCTCCAGAGGGCCTCTGGGGGAGTGGGGAAGACTGTTTTTGCCCTCCCCAGGCTCCTAGGAAGGCTCTGGAGCCTGGAGAGGGTGAAAAACGGGCCTACTGGGCCCACCGTGCCATCGCGTACCAAAAGCGGGGGAAGCGCGGAGGGGTCGCGCACACATGCATGGGGGTGAGGCGCATAGAATTATGGGTGTGGGCACATGCGTGTGCGACCCCCCCCGGCACTCTCCCCGCTTTTGGCACGCGATGGCAAAAAGGTCACTGAGCTAGGGCAATGCTCGCGTGTCCATAGATATGGCTCTGTTGCACGCGTGTTATAGGACTTACAACATTTCGTGTTTTGTGACAATTGGAAGTGACAAAAGTCACTGAAAGAAAAGGAATTTACGACCATTTTTCACACTTACGACTGGCGCAGCGTCGCTGTGGTCACTTGATCAAAATTCAGGCAACTGGCCAGTATTTATGACGGTTGCAAAGTTCCGGGGAATGTGATCTCGTTTTGTGACCTCCTGACAAGCAAAGTCCATTGGGAGGGGGCAGCCAGGATTCACTTACACGACCGTGCGACTAACTTAACCACTGCAGTGTTTCCCTTAACAACAGTGTTGAGGAAAGTCGTAAAGGGGGGCGACTCTCACTTAACAGATTTCTCGCTTAGCCGCAGCAATGTTGGGCTCCGTCGGGTTTGTAAGTCGAGGACTTGCCCGTATTTATGATGGTTGCAGTTTCCTGGTATCACGTGATTCCCCTTTCGTGAAAATTCAAACGGGTTAGGCCGGATTCGCTTAACAACGGTGCAACTAACTTAACCACTGCAATGATTCACTTAACGGTGGTAGAAAAGGTCGTCAAGCGGGGCAAAACTCACTTAACAATTTAGGATTCCATTTTGATCACTCGGTCGCAAAAGGGGATCACGTCACACACACACACACACATACCGAGACACTGTAACCGTCATAAACACGGGTCAGTGACCAAATCCTCAGAATTGTGACCATGTGGCCGGGTGGATGCCGCAATGGCCGTTAAGTGTGAAAAAACGACCCGTCGGTCACCTTTTCCCATGCTGTTGTAACTTCGAACGGTCCCTAAATGGTTCATGTTTATGACATTTGCAGCGTCCCCTGAGAATCCCCTTTTGCGACCTTCTGGCAAGCGAAGTCAATTGGGAAGCCAGATTCACTTAACAACTGGGTAACTAGCTTAAGAACCTCAGGGATTCACTTAACAACTGTCTAGCTTAACTTCAGGGATTCACTTAACTGCGTAACTAGCTTAAAGAACTACAGTGGTTCACTTAACAACCACGGCAAGAAAGTCCATCAAACGGGGCGAAACTCACTTAACGAAGGTCTCGCTTCGAAATGGACATTTTTGCCCGCCGACTGCAATCCTAAATCGAAGATTACCCCGCAGAACTCCAGATGCGCTTATGATCTGCTTCAACACGAACCGTTGTAAGTCGAGGACTAAGTTGGATAACCATTGGTCTGAAGCGGTGGTAGGGTTTCCTCCTGCCTAAGCAAGGGGGTTGGACTAGAAGACCTCCCAAGGTCCTTTCCTTCCAACTCTGTGAATCTATTTCTTTTCTATTTGTCCTTCTGCTGAGCTGTCTTTTTTTTCCGTCATACAACGGAGTCGTAAAGAATGGGGCCGTCCTTTGCAATGTTCTTTGCATGCATTTTAAGGGCAGTTGCAACACGCAGCCGCCTCCTTACTCCACCTTTCTGGAAGCAGGTGAACGGCCCTTGAAAAGTGGCGCCAGCCCCGGAAACGGTTAATTAACTCGCTGGGTTGGGCCCCGCTTTCCAATAACATCTCGATCGACCGGTTTTAAGCTGTTTACTTGCTATTGCAGCTGGCGCGTTGGGTCCCGATAGAGGGACGCCGAAGGAGGGGATAATAGGTTTTTGTTTTTGTATTTTTCTTTTTAATTTTGTTTTCGGGGAGGAGGGGGGAGGAGAAAGGGAGCGGAACCTCCTGTTGCTTTCCAAACCGGGGTTGCCAAAATCATGAGGACTAGCATCCTCCCCAAGCCTTGCGAAACTGCCCTTTTTTGGCTTGTTGTTGAGCTCGCCCTCGTTTCATCTCCCAACCTGGGCTGGTTTTTCCAGGTCTTATCTGGAGGGGAGCCAACTCCGAGAGGCGTCCGCGAAAGGGAGGGGGGGAAATAAACCCCGAATGCGGGTTTTGATAAGGGTTCCGAAAGGCGTGATGGCGAACCTGTGGCACGCGTGCCACAGGTGGCGTGTAGAGCCCTCTCTGCGGGCACGCCGGCCGTCGCCCCAGCCCAGCTCCATGTGCAGGCGCCTTTCGCTGGCCAGCTGGACTTCAGGTCTCTGCCACGCATGCGCAGGGGATCGGACACATGTGGGGGACACACACATGCGCGGGGGGATGCATGCATGACCGGGGGGGGGGCGGAGGGCTTTCCGGGCCCAGGGTGGGGGGGGGGGGGGGGCTTGCATGCCCCGTTCATCGTAGCTTAATCCTGGCTTAACATGAAGGGTAAACATAGCCAGAACTGTGCCCTTGGTTCACCCCGCGAAGTATAACTGCAATCTCTCTGGGGACCTTCCAAGCCACACATCCTAGTTTTGACTTTCCTGCATCAGGCAAGAGGGTTATGGGCAGTCCTCGACTTGCGACCACTTGTTTAGCGACCGTTGAAAGTTAGTCTAGACCGTTAAAAGTCTACAAGAGTAGTCCTCGGCTTGCGACCGCAAGGGAGGCCTAAGTTTCCATTGTTACGGAATGCGGTCGTTGAAGTGACTTTCGCCCCGTTTTACCACTGTCATTAAGTGAATCCCTGCAAGGGGTGAAGTTAGTCACACGGTTGTTAAGCGAACCTGGCTTCCCCGTTGACGTGAAGGCCGCAAAAGGGGATTGCGTGATCTCCGGGAACGCTGCGACAGTCATAAGTACGAGCCGATTGCCAAAATTATTTCATCAAGCTGGCCTGACCTAAGTCTTTCCCCTTTTTTAAATGGAAATTTTAAATTTGGTTTTAAACTATTGGGGTTTTAAATTTGTTCAGCCAAATTATTTAATTCGTTTTAGTTTTATTTTAAATTTTGTATCTATATGTTTTATTCTATGCCTGTTCACCGCCCTGAGTCCTTCGGGAGTAGGGCGGTATACAAATTCAACAAAATAAATAAAATAAATAAATAAAAGTCCGAATTTTGACCACGCGACCACCGGAATGCCGCAAGGGTCATCAGCGTGAAGTCACTTTTTGCCGTGCCGTTGTCGTTTCGCTAAGTGAACGGTCGTAAGTTGAGAACGACCTGTCAGTCTATATGACCTCTAGGAACCCCACCTCCCTCATAAAAAGAAAACATTCCTTTTCTCTTCTGCAGTGTCCCTGGGTGGATATGCGCTGTGGAAAGACCCTGAGCCTTCGGTGGCCGAGCCGCCCTCTTTCCAGATGCCGCTGGACATGACCATTCGCAACTCCGTCTTCACGGCGGCTCAGCCCCACGGCGCAGCCCACGTCTCCAGCGGGACACGACAGGAAACCGACTCTGACTTCGCACACGCCAAAATCAAGGTAGGACCGACGGGCAGCTTCGAACCCCAGTTGATTACGGATTAACAGAGTTGGAAGGGAACCTTGTAGGTCAGCGATGGTGAACTTTTTCGGCACCGAATGCCAAAAAAGGGAACACTTCGCGCGCATTCGTCAGGGCTGCAACCAGGAAGAGGAGCTGCCCAGGGGGACATGTGCACGCCCGATAAGGTACTTCCGGTTCCCGGCCAGCAAGTCTTCCAGTTACTGCCGCGCATATGAACACACCGATCAGCTGGCTGGCGTCGATCAGCATGCTCACGCTGGAAAACGGAAGATCAGCTCTCCCGGTTTCCAGCACTGCCGCATGCACGAAATGCCAGCTGATCGCTGCGCTAGAAACCCAAAAGAGGAACGGGCGATGCCGGGCGACATGGCTCCGTGTGCACGCGTGGTATAGCTTCGCCATCACGGTTGTAGATCACCTAGTCCAGGGGTGAAATCCAGCAGGTTCGGGAGAACCGGTAGCGGAAATTTTGAGCAGTTTGGAGAACTGGCAAATGCCACCTCTGGCTGGCCCCAGAGTGGGGTAGGAATGGGGATTTTGCAGTATCCTTCCCCGGGAGTGGAGTGGGAATAGAGATTTTGCCGTATCCTTCCCCTGGAGTGGGTGGGAATGGGGATTTTGCAGTATCCTTCCCCTGGAGTGGGGTAGGAATGGGGATTTTGCAGTATCCTTCCCCCTGGAGTGGGGAGGGAATGGAGATTTTGCAGTATCCTTCCCCTGGAGTGGGGTGGGAATGGGGATTTTGCAGTATCCTTCCCCCTGGAGTGGGGTGGGAATGGAGATTTTGCAGTATCCTTCCCCTGGAGTGGGGAAGGAATGGGGATTTTGCCATATCCTTCCCCTGGAGTGGGGTGGGAATGGAGATCTTACAGTATCCTTCCCTTGCCACACCCACCAAGCCACACCCACAGAACTGGTAGTAAAAAAAATTTGGATTTCACCCCTGATCTGATCCAATCCCCTCCCCAAGCACGAGACCCTACATCTGTGATGGCGAACCACCCGAAGTGGCACGCAGCGTGCCTCTCTGATGGCACGCGATCCGTCGCCCCAGTTCAGCTCCGCTGTGCATGTGTGCGCGCCTCCCTCTGGCCAGTTGGTTTTCGGGGCTCTGCCGGGGGGGGGGAGCCACGCCCGCATTGCATTTGAGGGGGTTCGGTCACACGCATTCGCGGACGTGGTTGCCCGCTTTGGTCACTCGGTCCGGGAAGAGTTTAGCCATCCCTGCCCTACGTCGTTTCTCACAATTTGTGACCGTTTCTTCACGGGCCCCAGTAGGGCCCTCGGGGACGAGACATGGTACGCCTCAAAAGCAAATAACAATAATGAAGGGGTAAGGTGTGCGATTGTGTTGCAACCGCTCCTCAGCTGTGCTTGATTAAAATCCGAGGCGGGGTACAGATAAAGGGAAGGAAGTTAGTCATATGGAAAAAAGGCTTCGGGGACCTGGGATGCCCCGGCCATGATTGCGGGCGCGCTCACAAAATGGTTGTTTCCTGGGCGCCCTCATTTATTGGCTAAGAAATGGCCCAGGATGGGATAAAGAGGGGCAGATTTTTTAACCGAGAAGGCTTTTTTTTTTTCCTTGCTTCAAAGGGGGTGTTACATTTTCCTTCCTTCTTTCCTTTTATTTTTAATTAAAAGAGCAGAACGAAAGAAGGTCGGGAAGGAGCGCAGGACCAGCAAACCACGAATGAGGATTTGTTGGGCTGGTTGAGGTTTGTTTGGTAGGCGAGTGAAGGTGTGAGGAAATGCTTACGGGGAGACTTACAACCCACCACTGATGCAAAGTTACAATGACAGTGAAAAACACGGACTTAGGACCAGTCCTCGCACTTATGACCGGTCACAAAAGGAGATCGCATGAGCCCAGGGATACTGCAACCGTCATAAATATGAACCAGTGGCCAAGCGTCTGAATTTTGATCAGGGTGAAAAAACGGTCGTCAGTCTCTTCTTTTTTCAGTGCAGGTCCTTGAACGATCACGAAATGGATCGTTGTAAATTGAGGACTTATTGAGACATTGGATGGGATATTTCTAGCGAGAGTTCGGATGCGCCGCGGCTTCAAAATTAGGGTTTGGGAGGTGGGGTTTTTTTTGGAAATCCTACCCACTGAAAATTCCCCCAGGAAGAATAAAAGATAAAAGAGGAAATCGGAATATTTTCAAGACGTGAGAAAGATGCTCTGTATGGATAGAAAAGAAATACGAATAAAAGCTGATAGATAAATGATATAGATAATAGAAAGTTAAATGAGGGATAAGACAGAAAAGAAATAGAAACTTGGATGAGACCAGAGTAAATGGAAAAGGGGGATGTGGGGGGGGGAAGAAAGAAGATTATAAATATAAATGTACAATTATGAAATGATAGATTGGGTAATAAGGGAAATATTGCACAACAAAAGAGAAAGAAAGGAGAGAGGAGGCGAGGAAAGAGAGGGAAAGAGAGGAATGGAAGAAAAGGGAAGGAGAGGAAGAAAGGATACTGGACAAGAGAAGGTGAGAAAGGGGGAAAAGAGGGGAGAGGAAGGGAAAGTAGGGGAGGAGAGGAGAGGAGGGGGAAGAAAGAAGAGAGGAGGGAGGGAGGGGAAAGAAAGAAGGAGAAGAAGGTTTGTTGTGAAGAGGGAAAAGAGAGGGTAGAAGAGCAATTCAAATGTAAATGTCTTATTTTTATGCTTTCGTTACAAAAAATATGTATATATATGATCAATTATGGATAAGAGAATGTACATTGACAATATGTGTATAAGAAATAAAAATAAAAAACTTTAAAAAAAAACACCAAGAAAATTGCCATCAGGGTTGAAAATCTTTCTGGCAATCATGAGGACTAGAATCTTAGCTCTGCTCTGACCGGCGAGGACCACATCTCGGGGAGGAGTGGTGGGTTAAGGCTGTGGCTGGTCCGAGCGGAGCATCCAACCGAAGCAGTTTCTTTGACCTCCTGCAGGTGAGCTCGGCCGACGGTCCCCTCGAGCAGTTTTCCTGCCCGTTTTGCCAAAAAGCTTTTTCCTACCAACGGATGCTCAACCGTCACCTCAAATGCCACAGCGAGATCAAACGTCACCTCTGCCCCTACTGCAACAAAGGGTTTAACGACACCTTCGACCTCAAGCGACACGTTCGGACGCACACAGGTGAGCTCGCGTGAGGCGGTGCCGTCATCCGTTCCCACGCGGCCGAGATTGATCCAAGAATCGGTGCCAGGAATGGCTTTTGAGATCCGGGTGGGGGATCATCCTTATTTAACGACTCCATAATCCCTTGCGGGGGTGGAGTCTGGGCAACTGAATGGAGCTAGCGGAGTGTTTTACTGGGCCGGATGCCTTTCCTGTTGCCAGGGCGGAGTTTTGTTCGGCAGATATATTCCCACTGAGCCCAAGAGAGAGGAATATCTGCCTCTACCTAGGATAAAACTCACAGCCTCCTTTATTGTGAGGTGAGAGCTCCACTTCTAGGCCACGGCACCACAAGATCTGGCTGGGGATGATAGTCTATAACTCGGGGTCTTTATTAGACTCAGATCTACGGATACATAGGGGAGGGGGAGACTGTGATTACTCCCCAGCTCTTCTTGGCGTACAGTGCCAAAACAACGGTGGTGAACACCAAGGATGTCTCCCCCAGAGGATCAAAAAAAGTAGAAATAGAGGTTGTGCCCGCACAATCAGTCCTCCGTTCTATAGGTAGTCCTCGACTTACGACCACAATAGAGCCCAAAATTACTGTTGTTAAGCAGGACAGTTTCCTTGGGTGTCAAATTCCTTGGGTGTCCGATCACACTTGGCCAATAAAGAATTTCCTATCCTATCCTATCCTATCCTATCTATTCTATTTTCTATTTCTCTTCTCTCTTTTATTCTCTCTTCTCTTCTATTTTCTCTTCTCTCTTTTATTTCTCTCTTCTCTTCTCTCTTCTATTTTCTTTTCTCTTCTCTCTTTTTTCTCTTTTCTCTTCTCTTTTCTTTTCTCTTTCTCTTCTCTTCTCCTTCTCTCTTCTCTTCTCTTTTCTCTTCTCTTTTATTTTCTCTTTTCTCTTTCTCTCTCTATTTTCTTTTCTCTTCTCTTCTCCCTTCTCTTCTATTTTCTATTCTCTCCTCTTCTATTTTCTCTTCTCTCTTTTATTCTCTCTTCTCTTCTCTCTTCTATTTTCTTTTCTCTTCTCTTTTCTCTTCTCTCTTTTATTCTCTTTTCCTCTCTTATTTTCTTTTCTCTTCTCTTCTCCCTTCTCTTCTCTCCTCTTCTTTTTCTCTTCTCTCTTTTATTCTCTTTTCTCTTTCTCTCTTCTATTTTCTTTTCTCTTCTCTTCTCCCTTCTCTTCTATTTTCTATTCTCTCCTCTTCTATTTTCTCTTCTCTCTTTTATTCTCTCTTCTCTTCTCTCTTCTATTTTATTTTCTCTTCTCTCTTCTCTCTTCTCTTTCTCTATTTTTCCACTTGGAGGTTTATTTGTGTCCTCAGGGTCACCTGAGTGGTGCAAATGGGTGTGGAGCCTTTTGGAACTGCTGAAAGGACCGAGATAGATGATGTCGTATCTCTCCGCCCCCTGTTGAGAGCAGGCCAAGTGGCCTCAACGGCCCTCTAAAAGGATGCAAATGACCAGCTGTCTGCAAGGAGTATCAATCCTTCCCTTCCCCACCATCCAGTCAGAGCTGAAGAAGCTTCTCGGATGAGAAGCGAAACGTCTTCAAAGAAAAACCAGAAAGTTGAAAAGTAGGGATGCGGTAGCTCAGCGGCTAAGACGCTGAGCTTGCCGATCGAAAGGGTCGGCAGTTCAGCGGTTCGAATCCCTAGCGCCGCGTAACGGGGTGAGCTCCCGTGACTTGTCCCAGCTTCCGCCAACCTAGCAGTTCGAAAGCAGGTAAAAAGAAATGCAAGTAGAAAAATAGGGACCACCTTTGGTGGGAAGGGAACAGCGTTTTCCGTGCGCCTTTGGCAGTGAGTCATGCCGGCCACATGACCACGGAGACGTCTTCGGATAGCGCTGGCTCTTCGGCTTTGAAACGGAGATGAGCACCGCCCCCTAGAGTCAGGAACGACTAGCACATATGTGCTTTATCTTACCAGTTGAAAAAAAAAACATCTTTGGGACATAAAATCAGGCGCCACCGACCGCCTTGCTTAATAACAGGAATTCTAGTTCCAGCTCTAAACTGAGGATTACCTTAAGAGATAAGAAGCCATAAGTCAGTTGGGAGGGTGTCGTGAGTGCAGCCATAGTTCTCGGGCAATCCCGGTTGTCTGAACTCACCCTGGATCCTTTCTTCCTCCTCCTCCTCCTCCTCCTCTCTCCCATCCCGCAGGTGTACGTCCTTACAAATGTGAGTTGTGTGACAAAGCTTTCACCCAGCGCTGTTCCCTGGAGTCCCACCTGAAAAAAATCCACGGGGTGCAGCAGAGTTACGCCTACAAGGAGCGGCGGGCAAAACTTTACGTCTGCGAGGATTGCGGATCGACGGCCGATAGCCAGGAAGGCCACCTGCGTCATCTCCAGGAGCAACATCCCGACAGCCCGCTACTCCGGAAAGCCTCGCGCAAGGCGGCTACGGCCCTTCACGGCATCGGCATCATGGGCGCACCGAGTATCCTGCAGAGCTCTGGTCCTTGTTCTTAAACATCCTGGCCCTTTTTTGGGGGGGTGGGATACTGATAATTCCTTTGAACTTCGAAAGACCCTTTCTTCTTGCCCGGGGCCAAGGACTGGCTGTGTTTGGCCGATCGACAGATCCGGTATTTCGAATCCGGCGTGGGAAAAAGACACCGGGCAAAGATCTCCGTGAATCTTTCATGAAGCGCTGGGAATTTTTTTTAAAAAAATAAATAAATCTGGATCGGACTTCCAGATAGGACGGACGGTGGCTTTGAACGTTAGAAAGGGCTCGATTTGGCTGCGTGTGGGGTTGGGGCGGGATGATTCTCAGAGGGCATCTAGTCTTACCCCCCCCCCTCTTTAGCCCATGCTGGAAACGAGTTTTTGATGCAATTTAGCTGCTTGCATTGGGGCGGCCTCGATGGGGAGGTATAAAATCGTGTCTCCGAAGCCTGGATTTTAGAATCCATTCTTCAAACCCAATTCTTTGAATCCCTCGCCTATTTTTTTTTTTCGCACCGGAGTCCGAGGGCTTTGAATGGTGTGACGATTTGGGGAGACGCCTCAAGGCAACATAACTTTGGAAGATTAAAACGATTTAGCAATTGATCCCGTCACCGAAAGGCGGCGAGTTATCCCGTTCACTGGGTACGCTCAAGCCAGAGGCTTGGGGTTCGAGAAGCGATGGAATTAGATTTCCGCCTTTGATTAAGGAGGGGGTTGGACTAGATGACCTCATAGCATCCCTTCGAGCTGTGTTATGATTTTTCTGCCTCGGGGCCCGGATCGAACTAGTCTGACTTTGGAGATTTAAGTGCCTGGACTCGTTTGTTGGCTATCGGGACAGATTTTGCAACGGGAATCTGTTTTTAAAACGAGAATAATCTCAGGACCAATTGGGGGGTGTCTGGATGAGGTTTTATAAGCTTCCATGATACACCCCCCTTCTTTTCTCCCCAGAATTCAAGCATTCTGACATTCTGGAATCTGGTGAGTTTTTGTGTGTGTTGTGTGTTTATGTGTGATCCTTTTTAACTAATGCAAAAAAAAATGTATTATTTATCCCGCGTCGTGCAGCCATGGATTTTGAATTTTACGAATTATTATTATTATTTTTTTCTAAAAGAAAGATATACACTACAGTATTGGATCGCTGATAGGACTGCATCATTTCTGACCAGGATGGCGTAGCCTTTTTTTTTTTTTTTTTGTGAAACGGGGCAAGAAAAAAAATGAATTATTAAGCAAAAGTACCACCGTTTTCAAAGACTGTCATATGGGGTATTATTTTTATTTAATATTACGAACGTGTGAAGACGGGGGTCTCTCTTGCCACGGCGGGACGAGCCACCGAAGCGAACTTTGATTTTTTTTTATTTTTTTTTGGCATCTTGTGCGATAAGAGGCATTATGCCAAACACCAGGGTGTGGATCTTGTTTACATATTGGCCGTGTTTGTCTCTCGACTTTGGGGGAAACGGAGCTTGTGGCCTGTGAACTTTTAATGTTATTATATTATTCGTAATCTTATTATTCTTCCCCTCCTTAACCTGTTAATTAAAATAAAGGAACTGGGTTCTCTCCGCGAGCCAGAGAAGTTGCACGTTGTTTTGGATTCCAAAGGTGTGTCTCGAAATGGGACCTACATTTATAGCGTAACAGAGTTGGAAGGGACCCTCAGAGGTCTTCTAGTCCAACCCGCTGCTCAAGCAGGAGACCCTAGTCCTAGTCAGTCAATCCTAGACAGTCAATCAATGAAAATAAAGCTGGAAGGGACCTTGGAGGTCTTCTAGTCCAACCCCCTGCTACAATCTCTTCTTGAAAACCTCCAGGGATGGAAGTGCCCACGATTTCTGGTGGCAAGCAGTTCCACTGGTTAATTTGTCCTCACAGTTAGGAAGTTTCTCCTTAATTCCAAGTTGTTTTTCTCTTGTTCAGTTTCCATACATTATTTCTTGTCTGGCCTTTGGGTGCCTTGGAAAATAGCTTGACCCCCTTCCTCCTCTCTGGGGCAGCCCCTCAAATATTGGAAGACTGCTCTCCTGTCTCCCCTAGTTCCTTCTTTTCCCTAGAAAATCAATCAATCAATCACTCAATCAATCAATCAATCAGAATAGAGTGGGAAGGGACCTTGGAGGTCTGCTCAAGCAGGAGATCTTAGTCCATCCTGCTCCAATTGACTTTTAAGAAGCTCAGGAAGAAACTGGTTCCCAGTTAGCTGGGGTAGGTGGGCAAACCAGTTCTAACTTCCCTTAGCGCGTGTACGAGTCGTCCTCGACTTACGACGATCATTGGAAGCCAAGGACAGGTAAGTCTTCAGCTTAAAAAAACCCGCAACCGAGCACCCAAATTTCTTAACAAATTCACTTAACAACCGTGTAACACGCTTAACGACTGCAGTGATTCGTTTAGCAACTGTGGCAAGAAATTTGTAAAATGAATAGAAATCAGGATGGGGATGGAATGAAATGGAATAGAATAGGATTCAGAATGGAATGGAATAGAGGAAAGGAAAGGAAAATGGAATGGAATGGAAGAAAGGAAAGGAAAATGGAATGGAATGGAGGAAAGGAAAGGAAAGGAAAATGGAATGGAGGAAAGAAAGAAAAGAAAAAAAGGAAAAGGAATGGAGAGGAAGAAAGGAAAGGAAAATGGAATGGAATGGAATAGAGGAAAGAAAAGGAAGAAAGGAAAGGAGGAAAGGAAAGGAAAATGGAATGGAATGGAAAAAAAGGAAGAAAGGAAAAGGAATGGAAAGGAAGAAAGGAAAATGGAATGGAATGGAATAGAGGAAAGAAAAGAAAAGGAAGAAAGGAAAGGAGGAAAGGAAAGGCAGAAAGGAAAGGAAAATGGAATGGAAGAAAGGAAAATGAAATGGAAAGGGAGAAAGGAAAGAAAGAAAAGGAAAATGGAATAGAATGGAAGAAAGGAAGAAAAGAAAGGAAAATGGAATGGAATAGAGGAAAGAAAAGGAAGTAAGGAAGGAGGAAAGGAAAGGCAGAAAGGAAAGGAAAATGGAGTGGAAGAAAGGAAAGGAAAGGAAAATGGAATGGAATGGAAGAAAGGAAAGAAAAGGAAGAAAAGAAAAGGAATGGAAAGGAAGAAAGGAAAGGAAAATGGAATGGAATGGAATAGAATATAGAATTCTGGCAAAAATGTACAAAATTCACTTGTCCCACTTAGCAAATGTCTTGCTTAACGGGAAAGTTTTGAGCTTAATTACGTTTGTAAGTCGAGGACTACCTATGGTGGCAATTCCGTGTATTTGTCATTCAGAACCAGGAGAGGGCATTCTTTGGCTTGTCCGAATTTGTTTTTTTCCAGTGGAATTCCACACTTCTTCAGCTCCAGCGGAAAAATTGCCCTCTTAAACCCAATAAGCCCAACACGCTTAACCCTGGTCAGTAATTAACCCAGGGGGCTGCTTTTGCAAGTGGGCTAGCTTTTATGGAGTTTAATTTTTTTTTTTTCAAGGGTTGTTTCTTTTTGCCAACCTCTGTTTTTTAAATTCCTGGTTCCGTGTCTTGGCCAACCTCAAAAAAAAAAAAAAAAAAAAGGGGGGGGGGGATTAATTTGAGAAGCCGATCCAATGGAATCAGACACGGGTTAAATTCAAACGGTCTTCAGATTAAAGCAGCATTTTTGATAAAAGAAAGCGTCTGTAGTTCAGTGTTGAATTGTGGGGTCCTTGGTGCTCTTTGAACCCGGCTGTTTTCCTGAAAACGTTTCATGACCTAAGTAGGTAACGGCATCAGTGCTAAAAGGAAGGGGGTGCAGGAGGAGGAGGACTTGTGGGGTCCTTGGTGCTCTCTGAAGTTGGGCGGTAACATCATCAGTATTAGTTAACTTTATTGATTAGTGCGTGGGCCCGTATCAGAGTTCCAAACACAAATTATTACTAAAATCCGATGAAAACGATTTAAAATGGGAGTTGGAATAAAAAATACAATTTAAAAGGAATTGGGAATAAAATGGGAATTTAAAACGAAATTGGAATAAAAATATAATTTAAAATGAAATTGGAATAAAATACAATTGTCAGTACTAGTTTGAGCAAACCCCACGGCCTTCTGGCACTGAGGATGTTACCTACTTGGGTAATGAAATGTTTACAAGAAAACCTCAGAGAGCACCCAGGATTCCACAGTCGTCCTCCTCCTCTCCACAAACACCACTCCTTCGAGCACTGATGATGTTAACTAGTTGGGTAATGAAAGGTCTGTATGAAAACAGCCAAGCTCACCTAGGACTTCACAGTCGTCTCCTCCTTCCCCTCCTCCACCTCCTCCTCCTCCTTCCTCCTCTCCACAAACCCCACTCCCTTCTAGCAGAGCACTAAGCAACAATTCCAATGACTGAAAGTTTGTTTTTACTTCTTCGTAGGATTTATGTGTGTTTTTCCTCTAGCCAGGTAGGAAAAACCTGGCTAGAGGAAAAACATAGATATAGATATATAAATATAGATACAGATACAGATATACATACATACATATAAAAACCAAGGTGATAAAAAGGGTGGGAGAGAGAAGCTGGAAAACCTGGATTTTAATCCTTCCCCAGCTACAAAATCCCCCTGGGAGACCTTTGGCCAGTCCCTTTCAATCCAGCCTCCCTTACACAGTTGTTAAGTAAAAATAAATAAATAAATAGGGAGTTATGATCCCATCTGGGGAAGAAATGGAGATAGTGACAGATTTTATTTTCCTGGGCTCCAAGATCACTGCAGATGGGGACTGCAGCCAAGGAATTAAAAGATGCTTGCTCCTGGAGAGGAAAGCTATGGCAAATCTAGACAGCGTGCTAAAAAGCAGAGACATCACCCTGCCAACAAAAGTGAGTCTAGTCAAGGCTCTGGTGTTCCCAGTTGCAATGGATGTCTGGGAAAGTTGGCCCATAAGGAAGGCTGAGAAGGCCAAAGGATGGAGGCCTTTGAACTCTGGTGCTGGAGAAGACTCCTGCGAGTCCCTTGGACTGCAAGGCCATCCAACCGGTCGGTCCTAGAGGAGATCAACCCCGACTGCTCTCGAGAAGGCCAGATCCTGAAGAGGAAACTCAAATCCTTTGGCCACCTAATGAGAAGGAAGGACTCCCTGGAGAAGAGCCCAATGCTGGGAACGATGGAGGGCAAAAGAAGAAGAAGGGGACGGCAGAGAACGAGGTGGCCGGATGGAGTCACTGAAGCAGTCGGCGTGAGCTTAAATGGACTCCGGAGGATGGTAGAGGACAGGAAGGCCTGGAGGAACGTCGTCCATGAGGTCACGATGGGTTGGACACGACTTCGCGACTAACAACAAAGATCCCATCACAAGCTAGCAAAAATCAACGATGACCCCGAGCCTTCATTTCAGCAAGAATACCGGACAGAGTCGTCATGTTATTCTTAAAACAACTGAGAGTTGGAAACTGCCTGATAAATAAAAACATTGCTCTAAAGAGCGACTGTTACATTTCCTGCCCCGCCAGAGAGAAATGAAGGAAGAAGAAATAAAGGAATTGCATCTCCCTTAGCGGGGTGGAGGGGCGGGGGGGTTGTTTCAGGATAATTTTTGGCACGCCCAAGCTTTGCTTGGATTTTGGCGTAAACACCTCTAATGAAGTGGAAAGCAACAGACAAACAGCTTAGGTAATGCCGAATTTAATCAGCTGAGAGGTTAATTAAGATTTTTTTTTTCAATTTGGGACTTTGTGGCTGGAAATATTCCACGGTTGGCCGCCAGGGGGCGACCAGGGATCGCAGGTAGCCTAATATATTGTACAAGGCGTTTCCCAATCGAAAAGTTTTCATCCGCAGATTTGCAAACAATTTTTAACCCAGTTGCGAAGCGGCTGTCAAAATTGCAAGTCTGCGGATGAAGGTCGGAGTTGAACGCTGGTGAAAACGTTTCCCTTAAACCGTTTCTGCTTCTCGAAAGACGGAGTCATTTCTCTTCAATGGGCTCCTGCAAAAACGTCAAGAGAATTTATTTATTTTATTTATTTATTGGTTCAATTTATATGCCGCCCTTCTCCGGAGACTCAGGGTGGCTTACAATGCGTTAAGCAATAGCCTTCATACTTTTGTATATACCTGCTTAGCAGGGCTTTCGGCCCCCCCTAAGCGGTGTTCTTTTTGATACAAAATCAACTTATTGCCCCCACAATCCAGGTCCTCATTTTACCTACCTCGGAAGGATGGAAGGCTGAGTCAACCTTGAGCCTGGTGAGATTTGAACTCACAGTAATTGCAGGCAGCTGGCAGCTAAGTGCTACTTAACAGCACTTTAGTCCGCTGCTCCACCAAGGCTCCTTCATTTCAATTATAGTTTGCTTGGCTACTCACCCACCCTCTGGCACGTTTCCCAAAATTGCATTTTTAAACCTAGGTTAGGAAGAAAAAAGTAGGCTAGGAGCAAAGACGATAGCAACTCTTAGGAGGGTCCTCTTGATTGAACAGCGGGGATGGGAGGGGAAAAAAAATTGCCCGGCTGGACTACAACTCCCAGCAGCCCCGGCCAAACGTGATCGGGGATGAGGAGGCTGGGATCGATTGTACGCCAAGGAGGAATAATGGAAGAGAGTCCCTGGATCAAATCCTCCTTCAGTTCTCTT